ATCTGAAAGAGCGGACGCCGTCGAAACAGCCCAGCACGATCCTGAAAAATCCGGGTTGCGCTTCACTATCTACGCAATCGTTCTGTCTTGTAACTGTTAGGTAACGGATCAAAGGTGTCGCTCACCACAATTGGCTTGGTCTCGGATATGCGTGAGCGAAGTGCAGTTAGGCCAGTGAGTCCGGGCGTCGAAACTGCAAATAAGTGGTTAACATTGTCGCATCAGATAGGTCAGAGTCATTATTTCGTCAACATATCTTCCAATGTGCAGAGTATTTTCAAGTTCCGGATTCTGCGAAAGGTTTCCAGTTTTTGAACTTGAAGGTTTTTCTAGCTTCACCCACATACATATATTTGAGGGAAATTGCAGTGGCAATGTGAGTAAATATTTCTAGTATGATGGCTGACCTTTCAGGGATGTCGTCGCCCTCGTCGTCCTCATTTTCTACAACAGGCTTCCCATTCTGGTTGACGAATCTCAGATCCATTAATTTGTGCTGCACATTGTAGCTGTGTGGTGTTATGTCGGCCTGCAAACAGACATTGAGTGAACCCCGATATTGGATTTTGGGTACCAAGACGTCACCTCAAAGAAGTTCTGGTTCTTTTGCAGATATTTGACTAATTCTTCACCACTCAGCACCTGCGCCGCTAGTGGGATTTCTTGATTCTTCAAAGCAGCTGCAAAAATGACATGACCAACCGCTAAGTTTTCTTCAATATATCTAGTAGTGGCATAGAAATGAAGACCAACCGAGCACATCCGCTTGGGATGCGAAGACTACATGAGATAGGCAAATGCAGAGTGCAATTACGATGTACCTCTGGAGCAGAATTTGCTTCCCAATCATTCAAAGAAAGAAGTAGTTTCTTTGAATTCTAGGAATAGTCACAAAGAGATAACTTACCATTGTTTAGAGTGTTGTAAGTGCGGGAGCATCTCCTTATATCCATGAAGTCGCTGCCATTTAAAGATTAGCCTTGAATCCGATAAGAGAAATAAGAGAAAAATTTATAGAGTGGCTATCATTGTTATTGAATATCATCAAAGTGCAAAATCTCTCAAAATCAAAAAGCCGTTTCGCAGTTTACTCAGAGATTTTATTCGGTCATCGTTTTTGAGTGACTTAAACCCGTCACCATAATCTGTGCGCCTTTTTATCTGTCATTGTCACAGCCATTGCGAATAGTCACTGTCTCGGCGAGCAACTAGACTTCTCGCTTACTCGATTTCTTCGACTCTTCTTTTACTTTTCGGCCCTACTCGGAAGAGGGAACTTGTTCAACAAGCTCACCGAAATTCGTCGGAAAAAGCTATGGAGAATCTACCACCACAGGGGCGTGGTTTTTATTAAAAGAGACGGTGGTTGTGGACCTAGTTTACCTGATTTGGTTAGCGACTTGTGCATCCCAGATTCCCATCGATAAGTCCACGTCCACGATGATGCAAAAACATTTTCTATTCTCTACAAACTACCATGTTCGACTCCCACTCAATCTTGGCATGATAACGACGTTTTAGGTGTTCTTCGTTGTAATCTCGTGAAAGATATTATATATTCATTCGGCTGAGGTTTCGGCCAGTCGCCTTTGTCAGAGCAAAGAAGCCAAAGAAGATTGGGGATTTATTGTGATCAAACGACGGTTAGGCACTGCTAATTTCATTTCAAAGCACGGGTTTGATTTCGATCTGATTAGTGCAAAAAAAGTCTGCTCTATCTTCATTGATTAGGAATCCTCTTATGTTAGCCAAGCTAATGCCATACGTTTTTTTATGGTAAAGCTGCTAATGGGGGATGATCTTGTGATATGCCATAGAGCCGAGATTCTTAGGGTAGCACACTTCTTATATGTGCAGGATATTGTATTTTGGCGCATCCTTGGGCTGGAAAGCAAATCGCCATCAGAATGAAAATCATCGAAGGCACTCAACTAATCTATAGAAAAAAATGTATTTTGATAGCGTACAGTAATCTCATCTTGCGAAATTAAGCAATGCAGTTATTATGTGTATGAGAATAAATAAGTACTTCAAAAGCTACTTCATTGGGATCAGATGCCACAAAAAGTGGAAAAACCGAGACGTTTTTGACAATATAAGAATCTGATAGAATGTCGAGGTAGACTTTCCACGTGATCTTATGACATTATGACAAAAACTTCACTGAAGCCATAACTTTTAGAAAAAACTGAAGATAACTGAAGATAGGGTTGATAGCTTCCACTGTTTTCCAAGAAAATAATTATTGAAAACATCAAGATCGGCCAAGTGCTAGTTGAGAGAGCAGTGCACAGCAGATTATCAATTAATCCACTGACATCACCCGAGAGGAATCAGGAGGTCAGTAAGTTAGCAGAGCTATGAACAAAACTGCTGGAGTTATCAAAACCTTCTAGGCATAGTGGCCCATAGATGTGGAGTGTAGCGATCGCGATCATGGCAGGAATGATGAAATCTCTAGCTATACAGCGAATTCCGCCTCTTTTTCCTTCTTTTCTATCGGACTACCGAAAAATTGTTATATTGACGGTCACCAAGTCCGGTTTTATACGCCAAGGAATATTTGTAAGGGGTGGGATGTGCTGTTCAAGCTCCTCCAAATGAAGGGAAAGCATCGGATACCTAGTAAGTGACCGCGGCCGCTGAGTTCACCTCCGTGTTTTCCTATACGATTAATTCTCGCGGGTCGGCATTCGAAACCAACCACCTGTATCACCTGTCGTTCCATTGATCTCGATTTCCGCTAGCGGGTGCCAGTAACGTCTCCATTGGTTCCTGTCGGGAGCAGACAAGTGGATCATCCTCGCTCGAGTGACACCAGACGGAGCATTGTTTCAATCATAGTTCGCGAGGAAATTTGACCATTGCATCGGCGGTGCTGTTCGGTTGACGTCCCGAGGGATGCAGTCAGTAACAGGTCTGGTCCAACGGTCATCACTATACCGCATTACGTGTCCGGCCCACCTGATCTTCAAATTTTGCCATGAACAATGACCTCCCTAACCTTTGTTAGATGACGGAGCTTGTCAGAACGGGTTCTCTTCTGCACTTGCGTGTATAGAAAATTCCGAGCATCGTCTTTCCACGGCGCGCTTCTTTCCAAATTCCAAGCACCGCAGTGTCGAAAAGGTGAGCGCGGAGCCGGGTGTTCTTTGCCTTCTTCCCAATTCCTCGATGTTCCAAAATGCACCTCACACCGCGCGTCCCCTGCTCACCTCTGGTGCTAGGTGGTTCATCGCATTGACTTCTCCGCCTATATACACATAGCTAGAGCACTCAGAGGTATTCGTTCCGTTCAGCATAAAAGGAGCATCAGGTACCAATCCGTTTTTCATGAATCGTCTTCGTTAGGTTCAGTTGTAGAACGAACTTTCCATAAGCGTGTCTAATTCGACCAGCATTTGTCTCGCCTCCTCGATGTTCGCTGTTATAAGCACAATATTGCCTGTAAAGCTGAGATGATGTCAGTGGCGGCCGTCGTTTGAGCTTCACACCCTTACCTTCCCACTCAATATCACGCTTAAGTGTCCTTATATATGGAATAAGAACACCCTGGTTGCCCGGGACTTCGATTACCGCTTCTGCTTCGACGGCATCTATAATTTTCTTCAAGTCGATGAGTAAACCCAATGGCGTTTTGTCTTCTCGCGGTACTTCAATGAGTATTGTGGTGGTGATGTCATCGATTGTACTGGATCCTCTCCTAAACTTGATTTTGCATTCCGACATGAACCGCGTGGAGAGGCGAGTCAGAGTTTTGACAATAGTGGTGGAAGACTAAATAGCTGTCCTGGCCTGATCCTATCGGGACCGAATGCGGTACAGTTATCACTAGCTCTATGGCATGTCGAATTTCGAGAAGGAAACTGGAGAGATGACATATATATGTCCTGCCTGAGATGGTAGATAGTCAAGTAGACGTGACTGTTGAAGAGATCGAAGTAGAAGTCGCAGATGACCCTTCCCATTGCCCATCAGAATGCAGTGGCTTTTCCCTCTCGACGAAGAAGGGAAGTCGTCAGACTTACAGTTGACAAGATCCGACGGGCTTTGTGAATGCTATTCCTCGCCTCGGTGGCTTCAATCAGATCTACTGCTCTTTCCTCTTTCGAATCTTCCTTAATCGCTTCTCTGCATAGATCAGCAAGTTGGGACGTCAGCTGGTTATTGTCTGGAGATCGCGTGATTCTACACTGGAGTCTGAGCTCGACTCTTTGAAGAGAGACGTTTCTTGGCATCCTTTATTCTCCCTGCTTTCCTGGCACTATCATGAAGGTGTTCGATGAGCCGGTTGTATCCTTCATTAATTTTGTTGCTTAATCGAATCGATTCTCGCAAACTCGCAAAATAAGCGAAGTAATCCTAGTTGGCAGCAGTCCTGAAGTTTCTTTCCTGAACTTTGCAGCTCTTCCCACACACTAAAAAACAAAGTCTAGCGCGGAGGATGTGATGGTCTGATCCCGTGTAAAACTTCGGAACAACGGCGCGTTGAGCCAAGCAAAACCTGCAGTCAAAGATGATGCGATCTATTCCGTTATGAATCTGTCCATCAGATGACTCCCAAGTACATGGCAGATGAGAGGGCTTCTGGAACAGCGGTTTACCATGGATGATGTGGGTCGACGATAGCCTTTCACCTTGCTCAGTCCATTCCACCGTGAATCCCGACTTAATATTCAGTCATCCTTCTGAGATAGTCTTGGCGTTGAAATCACCGACAATGGTCTTGAAAAGGTATGTTCTCCTCTGTAAAGTCTCTTCGAATCCGAACAAAACGCTTTCAGCTCTTCTTTTTCGGAGGTCGACGTTGGTGGGTAAACAACGAAGACTGTTAAAGTCGGGTTTGAGCAACATCTCATCTATCGCAAACGCACGATTTGGGTTGTCAAGCTTCCGTATGAATCGATGTTCATGGCCAAATTCATGTTTTTGAGGACACCTACACCGCATCACCGACGCCTCTGCTGTCGTATGTTCCAAGGAAAGTTCTTTTCCAGTTCCGAAAACGACGGGTAACAGGCAGCGCCTTCTCGTCTCGGTCATTCCGATGACGTCGTACTTGAGTTTTCTGGCTTGCATCATCAGATCTTCTATACACGTTTCCGATGGAAGCGTTCAAGCAGTGCAAGCACAGATCGCTATCTTAGTCTTTCCCTTTTAGCTAGCCTGGTATGGGCTTGAGATTTTAGCAGCCTGTCCCGAGCGCTCCTACCTAACGCTGCAGTATCGTGGGCTCATCAGATTCAGGAAAGTATTGATTATGTTGGCATATGGGAACACACTATTAGTTTGCCAGGCTCTGATGTGGGGCTGAGTTGCCTTCGGGAAGATAAACAGGCTACTACTGGGTGGACGAGGGCTTTGTTTTGAGGCGGCTCTGAATCACAGTCTCTGGTTGAATCGATGGGTAGGATACCAACTGCACGCGCAGGCTCTCAACACACGTGTGAGTGGTACACCTGCGAATACAGAAGGTAAATCGAACCACCAAAGCAGGAACAGGAAGACCACGTGCGTCTCTCGGCAACTTTTGGTCAGCGATTTTTTGCGCTATCCATCTTCTGGGGACGCCTTACGTAGCTTCGTCGCTAACCGGCTGGGATCCTTAGAGAGGGAGAAACCTCAGTGGAGGAGTCTGTAGATTCGAGACTTTATTCGAATCCCATGCAACCGCAAAGTTTGATATCTTTAGTTTGAACTCCTGTTGTTTCATTGTAGTAGGTGTGTTTGGGGTCGGTTCAGAATCACCGAATATACTNAGCTGCGACCTCTTTATTATCTGCTTAACCGCTTCAGCCATCGACTCCGGTCACTTGGATGCCATCGCATGGAAATACATTGTGTTAAATAATGATTCAGCCATTTATGAAATAAGCGCAAGCTCACGTTCCAGGGTACTTTTAAAGAAATCTTAACATGGAAAATGTGCTCAATTGAGAATTAACTAGCATATCAGCAGCAAAGTTCACCTCGGAGACACAGACAGTCTTCCCCTCAATCCTTCAGAAAATCTCACTTTGCATAAGTTCAAAAACGATACAGCCACTAACCGAGTCAGCAGCTAAATGACAACAAAGAAAGGAAGTTGCGTGATTAATAACCAATTTGGCCCCCATTCCTTCAAATCACTCAAAAATACTATATAAACTGAAGTGAAGGTTATCAAGTTCGGTCACCTTGGTGCAAATCATTGACGGTTGTTTTCTTCACCTCGCTGATGCCTCCAAATGCTTTTTCATAAATCTTCCTTACCATTTCATGAATTCCAATGCGTTTTTCATTGGATTTAAGTTACGGCTGGTAAGCTATAACGGTAGAAGATTTAGTGCCGACTAACTAGGCCTCGCTTCTCCGAGTACGTGAGTCGGGGCATCACCCTGCACGAATACGAGGTTCCGTTGCCGATTCTGATGCCAGAAAGGAAGAGGAGCGCGGCGCATTACAATTCGGTAACCGGAATAACGGAGCACCTCTCTGGACCAAGCATAAATAAATACGTGCACTTCAAAGATCGGACTATGCTGCATGCGTTCGTCTTTTCCATGAAATGCATCCGGGCGCTTGCAGAACGTCCCAGGGAAGTCTCAGAGAATAGTGACTATCTACAGAGCTCTCCTACATTCTACGATCCCGAGGAGTAGTAATGCAATAAATTTTCCTTACCGTCATTGGCCAGATGGACACGCCTCTCTACTCTGAACACTCAGCATGGTGTTTCGAAATTTTCAGCAGCTCTGTGCATTTACGGTAGAGCAAGCACTCACACTAAAATCCATGTTAAGCCTTTTCCTGAAGTTCTCTTGAACGTGAGCTTTGGTGAAATTCACAGGTGGCTGTATCATCATTAAACGCAGTATGTCGCTGTACGTCACCAAGCCTGGGTGCCTGGGTCTTTGACTTCTTTTTTTCCACCTCAACATCGCATTTTGAAGTCCAAACATTGGCATTTATGATACTTTGCCACTGGAAATATAGTCGGTGTGGTATTCGAAAATACCAGATCAAGTCAAACAATGTTATCAGATCGGTGGACTCGTGCTTCGATTTCAGACCTACTGCTCTCTTCTTCCAACTTGACTGCGCAAATTTACACATATCGCGCTAATTTTACGCACGCTTCACCCCCTACATCTCCCATGACCCCCTCGGGAAAGATCCAGTTCAGTTGTTCTCCAACATCTATCATCGGTTCTGTCGCCTGCACCCCTGCCAAATTCAAACACCCCATGTCGAAATTCATCATTTTCGCCGACGCCTCGCCCCAGTGGGCGAAGTCTGGTCGGGGGAGGATCAAGTCGTGCGTCCGAGGGCCCGCGCGGCAAGTTGCGCGGCGAAGTTTGTAACGATTTGAACGACTCTGACGCCAATTTTGGAGGCACAAACTCGATGTAGACTAGTTTAGCAGGGTCAGATTATCCTTCTAATCTACTCTAATTCAAATTTGGGCCCCAATGGTAGGCGCCGGAGTCGTTCAAATAGTTACGAACTTCGCCGCGCAATTTGCCGCGCGCATCCTCGGAAGCACGACTTGACACACACCCAGTCTGGTCCTGCCACATCCCATAAACATTCCCAAGCTGTCGTTCGTAGTTCTACCAAATTTGAACCTCTATATATGGGTAGGTAACAGAATTCATGAATTTGTTCAACACACACAACAACACACTTAGACAAACCAACATACTCAGACAGACTTGACGAGTTACATATAGTGAGACGTATTATTCCATGGAGGAATATTTCATCCGTCAAAATGAAATTGCTCAGATGTCAGAAACGAACACATCAGAGCGGGCGTACAAACAGCCGAGGTGCTGCTGGGGATGAGACATGAGAAGTCACGAACACGTTCTGAGGGGATCTCAGAATCGCGCGGTAAGGGAGGCGATGAAATGTGAGGCTCACAAAAAATGCTGAACGTTATCAAGAATGATTTTTCAGCGCAAATGCCATCCGAAAGGGTAGCTGCCGTCGAAGCTGCCCAGCATGCAAAAATTCAGAATTCTGGTTGATCACCTTCAAAGTCTCTACTATGGATCCCAATCAAAGGTTGCCTGGTTGGCTCATCAGTCAGCTGGCTTTCTGGTTTAGTCACGGATAATCGTCAGCGGAAGGTTGTAAGGTCACCAAATTTGGAAGTTAAAGCTAGCAATTCGACGGCCGAAATCTCAAAGTAGTGTACTGCATTGAGTGTGCTGTAGTGTAATTGCGATTGGTCGAAGTGATTGTTTCGGAAGCTTACAGCACAACCGGTGAGAGCACTGAACAATGAGCTTTTTCAGCTTCAGCTTACTTTTCTCAAATATAATTGTGGTATATTCGGCTGCTAA